TTGGGTCTTACGCCTGAGGCACAGTGTGTCGAACGAGCCTGGCTCTCTGGTGTTAGGCGTCGCTTGTTTGACCCCCTGCAGTATGTGCTTAATGCGAAGGTAGGTGAAGAGTTCCCTACTCGGGATGAGGAAGGTCTGCTGAAGTGTCGGGAATTGTCTGATCTCACTACTCTCCATTAGCTGGGATACCCTCTCTATCCCCTGTGCCAACCACCCGTCTAGAACCAGATCTTGTGTGAGGTATTTTAGGCTAGTCATGGGGGCGTATAATATCAGAGGTTGGGCTAGGAGTTTCGGGGCCCACCTGTGCCATATGCGTAGAGAGTGTTTTGTGGTCACCAGCATGTTTGCGTCGCGTGGGTGCGAACTGGTCGGGACCCAGAGTAAGTCTAATAATGCATGGGGCGTAGCAGTTGCCGTTTCTAATTGGTACCACAGGGGGCGGTTTGGGGTTCTCAGCAGTCTTACTGTTTGGGATAGATTCGTGGCTATGTAGTATTTAGAAATATTGGGTACACCCAGCCCCCCATTCCCCATAACCAGGGATGTAATTGCCAGAGAAACCCTAGGTGGTTTCTTCTTCCATATGTGTGCGTTCAGCAAACGTTGGAATCGCTGTAGTAGCCCCTTCGGTATATCAATGGGGAGGGCCCTGAAGAGGAATAATATTTGGGGGAGTATGATCATTTTTATGGAGTTTATGCGTCCCAGCCATGATGTGTTTTTTGCCCCCCAGCTCTCCAGCAGTGTCTCGGTTTTATTTAGCAAGGCGTCATGGTTATGTCGGAGTAGGTTACGTCTGGAGGGTGCCAGTTTTGTACCTAAGTAGGAGAGATTGTCTTTCCGCCAGTCAAAGGGGTACTGAGCTCGCAGTGGAGTTAGGTGAGGGTGGGGCACGTTAAAGGGTAATACCTGAGTCTTTGCTTCGTTGTTTTTGTAATAGGACACTAGGCCATAATCATGGAGCAGGAGTAGAAGATGTTTCAGTGATTCTGTCGGGTTAGTCAGAAATAGCAGGATGTCGTCAGCAAAGGCCGCTATTTTTTGGGGACCTATTAGTGTGGGGATACCCGTGACGCGCTCCTCCTGCTTAATTGTGTGCATTAACGGTTCTAGTGACAGGATAAAGATAAGGGGCGACAATGGGCATCCCTGTCTCGTGCCATTTGTCAGGGCAAAACGTCGAGAGGTGAAACCGGAGCTCACCACTACGGCTGTCGGGGAGGAATACAATGACCGGAGGCCATTGAGAAATTTGTCGGGGAATCCAAACCTGCGGAGAACCTCCGTCATGTAGCCCCAGTGTAGCCGGTCGAAGGCCTTCTCCGCGTCAAGGGCCATTAGTAGTCCCTGTGTTCTATGTACCGTCAGGAGTTCCATTATGTCTAGTGCACGCCTTGTGTTGTCCTCTACCTGGCGTTCCGGGACAAAACCTGATTGTTCCGGGGACACGAGTGTACCCAGGAGGGGGCGTATTCTGTTGGCAAGAATTTTAGCAAAGAGCTTTGTGTCGGCGTTAAGCAGGGAGATGGGGCGATAGTTCGCGCAAAATTCAGTGGGCTTGCCCGGCTTGGGAATAGTAATTATGGTGGCCTCTAGCATTTCGGGGGGTATGGAGCCTGACTCCATGATGTTATTGAACAGGGAGGTCATGTGGGGAAGGAGTTGTTCCTCAAAGGTCTTATAATAGTGAGCGGGGAAGCCGTCAGGCCCTGGGGCTTTATGTCGGGGGGTTTCTCTAAGTGCTTTTGAGATTTCCTCTGGAGTGATTTTGCTGGAGAGTAGTGAGGCTTGGGCGCTGGTGAGCTGGGGGAGTGCCACTTTATCTAAGTAGGCGGCTATCTCCAGTGGGGTCGGCTGGTGTTGTAGAGGATCATTCCCCAGGTTATAGAGGGCACCGTAAAATGTCGCAAATTCATCAGCTATCAGCTTGGGGTTCGTCAGTTTCGTCCCGTTTTTATCTACTAGGTATGGAATGCGCGTTTGGGCGTGTTTGTCTTTCAGTTGGGCGGCCAACAGTTTCCCCGCCCTGTTCCCCTGCCTGTAATATTCGCTTTTGAGTTTGCGGAGAGCCCTCTCAACTCGCTGGAGTTGATGGACTTCCAAGTCAGCTCTAATCTCATTGACAGCCTGTCGTGTCACGTCAGAGGGTGAGGATTTGTGGAGGTCCTCCGCAAGCCTCAGGTCCCTGAGCTTTGCTCTGCTGGTTTCCTCTAGTTTGCGTTTTAGTGTCGCTCCAGCTCTAATCAGTGCACCCCGTATCACCGCCTTATGGGCCAGCCACGTCGCAGCCATGGTTGTGTCTTGGGGCTTGTTGTCCGCAAAGTAATTCACTATGGTTTTGCTTATCTCAGCAGCCCGTTCAGCGCTATCTATGAGGGATGCATTGAGGCGCCACGTGCCCCGTCCTCTCACCGGATGCAAGGTGGTGAATGAGGACAGCAAAGGGGCATGGTCTGACCAGGTGATTGAGTCGATGGTAACCCTAGCCAGAGTGTCCAGGGATTTCTCATCCACCAGGCACATGTCAATGCGGGAGTATTGGTCATGGACTTTCGAGTAGAAAGTATAATCTCTGGTGGCCGGGTAGAGGGAGCGCCACGTGTCGTGAAGGCCATGAGAGTGTAAAAGAGCTGAGAGCCTGTCACCGATAGATACAGAGCGAGGGTGGGAACCTGGGGTGCCAGATCTGTCCAGGTCTGGGTCAAGTACACAGTTAAAGTCTCCGCAGACATAAGTTTGGCCCTGTTTTATCCTGTCTAGCGTTTTTAGGGATTTCCTGATAAAGTCATATTGGTTGGAGTTGGGGGCGTAAAGGTTTGCCAAGGTTACCGGGATATCGTTTAGCCTACCCACCAGAATTAGTAGCCTACCATCAGCGGTTTTGTGCTCTGTTGTGCACGTGAAGGCCCAGTCCGAGTGGATCAAGATACTGACTCCCCTGGTTTTATTGGGCGCTAAAGCATGGTAGGAGACGGGGTACCTGGCTGCAGTGGCGGATCCAGGGGGGGGGCAACGGGGCAATTGCCCCCCCCGAGAAATCCGCCGGTCTCCCTCTCCCTCCCTTGCCAGCATGGCAGGCACTGTGTTGAGAGCCGGCAGGGGAGGGAGGGAGTGAGAGAGAGGACCCGGAGCTCAGCCTGCAGCTCCTCCGGGTCCTCCTCTCGTGAGATTTGAAGCGTTGCTGCGGTTACCACGGTAACGCTCCAAATCTCGCGAGAGTGAAGTCTAGCCCGGGAGCGCGGGCTAGAGTTCACTCTCCACACTGGGACCACCAATGAATCCCCCACCGGACCACCAGGGATCGAAGTATGTCCCCCCTCCCCCCCAGTAAAGGTAAGAAGGGAGGGGGGACATATTTCGGATAAATAATTAAATAATAATAATTAAATTCGAATTAAATAAAAAAAAAAATATTTTATAAAAAAAAAAAAGCCACACACACACATACATTGCCCCCAATACTGCCCCCCCATTCACACAAACTGCCCCCCATTACACACAAACTGCCCCCCATTCACACAAACCCCCATTCACACAAACTGCCCCACATACACACACACTGCCCCCCATACACACACTGCCCCCATACACACAAACTGCCCCACATACACACACTGTCCCCCATACACACACACTGCCCCCATACACACACACTGCCCCCCATACACACACACTGTCCCACACATACACTGCATCCCTGACATACACTGCCGCCCTCACTCACACACTACAACCTTCACACACACACTGCACCCCTTACACATTGCACCACTCACACACACCACTGCTCCTATGCCCTACTACAGCCCCATTTCCCAGCAGATCTCAGGTAAGTTGTCAAACTGTTCTTAACCAGTTTGACTACTTACTGTGGGAGGGGGTCCCGGCACTATTGACACCATAACCACTACACTGAGCTGTAGTGGTTATTGTGTCTGGATTATTTCTTTAAATAATCTACAAGTGCCCCTCCCGAGATCAGGCTCTGGATCCGCCACTGCCTGGCTGAGAGGAATTTTGGGGGGTTTATTGCCGAGAAGTGTGTCTCCTGTATGCAGGCTTCTGAAGCGTGCAGGGCGCGGAGCTGGGAGAAGGCAAGCCTGCGTTTTTGCGGAGTGTTCAGGCCTCGGGCATTTAGGGACAGAACATTAAATTGGTGTTGGGAAGACATCAGTTGAGACCTGGGGGGGGGCTCAGTGCTTCTGAGGCAGCAGTTACAAAACTGGTTTACAGACAAAGGTAGTACTCTTTGGTGGAGGGGGGTTGCGTCCCTAAACCCCCAGTGCCTCCAAGGCCCAGGGTGAGCGACATCTCTAATGGGGTGCATAGGCAAGGGTAGAGTGTAACATGGGGATAAAAAACGGTAAACATAACAAAAGTATATACATTTCAATAAACTTAATAGCATTATGTGGAGACTGGTCCGCAGGTGCACCTTTCTCCTCACGGTGGGGAGGGGTAGCACCGCAGAGGATTGTCTCGGCGTTGGGGGGGGGGGCTCTAAGGAGAGGGTCTGTGACCGGTGGTGGACTATATGAATAGAGGGAAGGAGAGGGTCTAGTGTTGGGTATAACATGGGCACATCAAGTGTAGGAGCCACCCGAGCTCACTGGGTTAAAGCTGGTCATCTTGGTGAGATAGGCCATGCCACTAGGCATGCCATCAGGGTGCCTCGGGTTGTATAGGCGTAGATGTGGTCGGGACAACCAGGGGCTAAGGCCGACCTCAGTGCCGGTGGGAGCCGCATATAGCTGAAACTTTTAAGTGCAGCGTATGGGGTAACAGTATGACAGCTATGGGGGGGGGTCCTGTGGGCCACCTCCTGACACAGTTACTCACGTGAAGGTTCAGACTGCAAACATCAATCAAGCTTTTCCCCCAAAGTAAAAGAAAAAGGGGGGTGAGTCCAGCTAGAGTCTCTGCCGCTTCCAAGGCGGGGACGTCTTCACCTCACATGGCATCGGTCGACCTGGCAGTCTGTGGCAGTGGGAGAGGTCGAACAAATCAGTCACTTCTTCCATTGGACTTTGGTCCACTCCTGGGTCACTTGTCCTGGGGACGCTGGGTGGTTGGGCGGTGCGTGGTCCGGGAAGAGTCCCCAAGCTTTCAGCTTGTGCATGCCCTGGTCTGGGTCCTCCAGCTTCGTTAGGGTCCCATTTCTCCAGATCAGCAATTTCGTGGGGAATCCCCAGCGGTAGGGGATCTTGTGGTTCCGGAGGCATTTTGTGACATTTATAAAGTCTCTTCTTCTCGCCATTGTCATAGGAGACAAATCAGCGAATAGGGAGATCTTTTCATAGCCCGGTGGCATTGCCGTAGATTTTCGTTGCGCCGTAAGTATGGCGTCCTTGGCGCTGAAATAGTGTAGCCTTGTGACAATGTCTCTCGGTATGTCTCGTGCCAGCGTAGCGGGTTTGGGTACCCGGTGCGCCCTATCTAAGCGCAGGTCAGCTGGTTCCAGGTTAGGCTGGATCACCGTGAAGAGTTGCCGAAGATACTCCGGGATATCGGACCCTGCGACAGACTCCGGGACCCCGCGCACTCTGATGTTATTGCGGCGCGATCGGTCCTCGAGGTCCGCCAGTTTGGCTGTTAGGCGCGCTTGCTCCGATTCCATCTGGCGGATCTTGTCCAAGATGCCGTCATTAGCCTGGCATAAGTCGTCAGTTTTCTCCTCCAGGGCATTTAGGCGGGTCCCTACCTCGTGCACCTCCCTGCGAATGTCATCAACAGCCAGTTGTAAGTCCTCTTTCATGGAGGAGCGGAGCTTCTGCAGCATTGCCGCCATTTTTGCCTCCGAGAGAGAAATATCCCCAGGGGGAGGCTGCAGTGCCTCTGTGTCGGATCCCTGATCCGAGGCAGGTGTTGGGGAGTGTGAGCCGCCGCCATCTTGCTCCGGCCACGTTTTGTCCCTCCTACCTTGTCGGAAAAAATCCGACGCCCGCTGTGCTTTTGGGGGCGCCATTCGGCAGGGTGAGATCCCCACAGGTGTGGGATGTAGTGGAGGGCACTTTTTCTTCCCTCAGCCGGTTTTAATTGCCGCTTTAGACCGGTCCGGTCTCGGAGCTCTCACTCCATGCGGCTGCTCCGTGAGACCGGAAGTCCCCTATTTAAATATGCTTTAGTTTATTTAGCACTAACACTATTTCATTGGTCTCCCATGCTGGTGTAGGACCCTCCAATATTTAGGTACTCTGAAGTAGTGGTGGGCCTAACACGCTAGGGGCAGATGGTGGAACTGAATCCCCATATTTGTTTGCGGGGATAAGTGATTTTAAGTAGCTATGTAAAATATAAAACTGTATTTTTGTATGTGCGCTGTTCCTTATTATTGTGAACGTCGTGATACAGTAATGTGAGCTAACGAGAGCTGAGTTTTTATGATGTAGGGCTCTGTAATTATAGATTATTTCCCCCCCACTTTTTATTTGGCACATTGTTTTTCCTGCGCCAATGTAAATGTTGTCCTTTAGCATCAAATGATTTTGATACAATCTATATCCATGGATGTATAGAGCGTATAAGAACAGCACCCCTGTCTGGGTGTATTTAAATTAAATGCAGTCGGTTTTCTCGTAAATCACTAAACAGAACTGAACGATCCGGTCAGGGTGACCTTGAAATAACGCATTCTTATGAGCTTCACCATCAGGCTAGAAGCTTCCTGGGAATCATTTAACTAGCTCTCATTCACATTTTACTAAAATCAAATTTACATTCACCATTGGATACATTATAAATAAATATTTCATTTCTTTATAATCTGCTGCTTTG